CAGGTTGCCTCATCAGGATTGTTTCATCTAGGTCACCATACAAGAACGTAATCTTCACATCCATCTGTTCCAGTTCAAGGTCGAACTGTGCCACTGTGGCAAGTAACAATCAAATGGATCTGTGCTTCACAACAAGAGATAACACATTATTGAAGTCGACACCTTCGTTCTGAGTGAACCCCCTAGCGACCAATCTTGCCTTGTATCTCTTCGACACCACTCCTTCGATTCCTTCCTTAACTTTGAAAATCCATTTACAGCTGACTAACCTGGCTCCAACAGGTTTCTTGATCAATTCCCAGGTATTGTTATCATGAAGAGATTATCTCATCATACATGGCCTTTAGCCATTCAGTCTTCTTTTGACTCCTCATAACTTACTTATAGTCTCTAGGTTCTTCGTCTAGAACCTCACTTGCAGAGGTTAAGGCATAAGTTATAAGGTCTACATACCCAAGTCTCTAAGGTGGTTTGATGACTCTCCTCGACCTGTCTCTTGCTAGCAGGTAGTCATTATTAGTCTCCTCATCTTCAACAACATCTTCTGCGTCTTCTTCGACTTCATTTGGGGTACATAATTCAACATTAACATGCTCCAACTCAACAGGAATCTCTCCCTGTTCTAGCTCTTCGTCAACATTATCAGTTTTCTTGAAAGCCATCTCTGCTTCATTGAAAACTACATATCGACTGGTGATACACCTTCTGTGACCTGGCTCTAGGCACCATAACCTATAAGCTTTGAATCATTCCGGGTACCCATGAACATGCATTTCAGAGCTCTAGGTTCGACCTTGTCTTGCCTAATGTGAGCATAGGCCACACAGCCAAATACTCTCAGTATGTCGAGACTAGGTGGATGTCCCGACCAAACTTCTTCAGGTGTCTTCAATCCCAAGGTAGTCGAGGAACATCTATTTATCAGGTAAGCTGCTGTCGAAACAGCTTCCGCCAAAAACACCTTCTTCAATCCAACACTAACCAACATGCATCTAACCCTTTCAAGTATTGTTCGATTGAATCTCCCAGCTAAGCCATTTTGTTAAGGAGTACCTGCTACAGTCTTATGCCTTACAATCCCAGACTCAACACAGTAACTGTCGAACGCTTCATTGCAGAATTCAAGGCCATTTTCGGTTCTCAACCTCTTGGCATTTCTATCAGTTTGAGTTTCGACCAGAATCTTCCAACTTTTGAAATTCTCAAAGGTTTCAGCCTTCGTCTTCTGAATGAATACCCATAACTTTCTGGAATATTCATCAACGATGGATAGAAAATACCCTACACTTGAGTGTGAAGGATTCCTTGCAGGCCCCCAAAGATCAGCATGAATGTAATCCAGGGATCCATGTGTTCTTTGCTTGCCTATGTTAAAATTCGCCTACAGGATTTACCAAATACACAAGATTCACAACACTCCAACTTTTCGTCTTTGTCATCTCCTAGCAGGTTCTGCTTCCCCAATTCGACCAGACCTCTTTCGCTGACATAGCCCAATCTCATGTGCCATAAATCTGTCTTCGACATAGGTTTTGTGGATGCAACATTTGTTGAACCACTTACAACCTCAGCCTCGAGGGTATACACGCCTTATTTATTCACACCTCTCAAGAGTTCCTTTGACCCCTTCATGACTCTTAGGATACTTTTCTCTCCTTTAAAAACGTATCCCTTTCTGTCGAATTCATCAAGAGAAATCAAATTTCTCTTCAAGTCAGGCACATACCTGACTTCAATCAATAACCTTATTGACTCACCATGGAGCTTGAATCTCACAGATCCAATACCAACAATTTTGCAAGATTTGTTGTTTCCTAGCAGTACAGATCCACCGTCTTGATCACATAGCTCCTCATACGATTCTCTGTTTGGATTCATGTGCCAAGTGCAACCTGAATCCATAATCCACTCTTTTCTCGAGTCGCCACTTGAAACCACAAGAATATCATATGAGTCAAAGTCATCTTGAACAATGGTTATGTTGCCATTACCTCCATGATCTTTCAGGCGTTCAGGGCACACCTTTCTTATGTGACCCTCCTTCTTATAGTGATAACACCGAATACCAGATATTTCGCCACTATAAGACTTCTGTTGACTTTTACCTTTCTTCTTGTCGAACTTACCATCCTTTCGCAAGACTTTTCCCTTAATGGCCAAACATTCGTCCACCGTAGAAGGTTTATGCTCTTTTTGTTCGTTCAAGTCCTTAGAATACAAGGCTAATTGAACTTCTTCAAAGGTCAGGGACTCCCTTCTATACAAGAGAGTTTTTTTTTGAAGTGAGCATGTGTTCTGGACAAAGCACACAACAACAACAATGCTTGATCTTCATCGTCGATCTTCACATCAATATTTTCAAGATCAAGAATCAGCTTTTTGAACATATCCAACTGCTCAGCCAACATTTTGTCTTCACTCATCTTGAATGAGTACAAAGCTTTCTTTAGGTAGAGTCGATTCATCAGAGATTTGGTCATGTACCAAACTTTCAGGTTCACCCATAATCCCGATGTTGTAGTCTCCTTTGATACCTGTCGAAGAACCTTATCACCAAGGCTCAACAATATTGCGCTATGGGCTTTCTCAATCATGTCCGTCTTTTCTTTTGTCGTTAATGCAGCGTCCATGGTTGTCTCTCCCTTCAACGCTTCCAAACAACCCTGCTGAACTAGTAGGGCTTTCATCTTCAAGCGCCACAGACCGAAGTCGTTTACTCCGGTGAACTTTTCAATCTCATACTTTGTTGAAGTCTTCTTTTCCACGCTTACTGCACCAATTTGTTGTGAATCAGATGCCTTTAAACAAAATATAAAAAGGTTTCTTTATCATCAAGAAACACACAAGGGTTAGTGTTAACAAAGAAAACAAGGTAAACAACAAAGGAACAACAAAGATTGGTTATAAATTGTTATTCTTTCCTTACTCTTAGAACAAGATTACAAGTATACAAGAATAACAAAATAACTTCTCTCTCTTGAAATTAGGATTTTATCTTTCTATTTTTCCTTATTCTAAGATTGAGAAACTAGCATCCTATTTATAAGAAAAATTGCACACTAACCTAATGAGCTTTTTAACAATTACCCATTACAAGCTAACTTAGGATACAAGCTAACTTAAACACTTGGGTTTGCAAGCAATGCTCAATCCAATATGCTAACAACCTAGCAATATTGACTAATGCATGTTAGAGCAAACTTCGACTACAACATACATTACTCCGACAGCAGCATGCGAACAGGCTTCGACCTCATGCTTAATACATGTCGAACCAGAAGCTATCCTTCGACCATACTAGAGTTTGATTACCTTAATTTTTTTTAAATATCGTATCTCGTATCGGTACCAATACCTGCACCGGGTACTGTACCCGTACTTATGCATCATAGTTTATAAGAAATATTTCACATTTTTAGATTAATTAAATAATTTTATATATTTGATATGTATTATAAATCAAATACATTAATTATTTAATAAATCTAAAAAAATAAAATGTACCTTATAAAAATGATTGGAGAAAGTAGTTATTAAATACAAAAGTGTCGTTCTAGAAGTTACAACTGTTGTCACACAAATACAAAAATTGGCATAAATATCCACTCTTCTAAATATTAGAGAGACTACTTTCTCAAAACCACACAAAACAGCAATCGGATATCATTTATTTTATTTAAATACAATATATACTACAAATTACAATTGAGCTTAATTTAATTTGAGCTTACATTTGACATATACATGTCTAATTTGTGGCCTAGTATCTTACTCTTCTCTTAACTTTAATCCCTTAATGCCTATTCATTTTTCTATAAAAGAATTAAAATTTTCCCTCTTTAATTACTTTCCTATAAACTTTAATTATGTTTTCTCTTCCTATGTAATTTGTCATGCATCAAATTAATATTTTCTCATTAATTTTCACCGTCTCATAATATGTGTCTCTTTAAAATTTTCACAATTTTTAATATAATGATTGATTATATTGAATTCAATGATAAAACAAGTGTTACTTACTAAAATAACCTCATTAATAATAAATAGTGAAATAATTATATAATTTAAAATACACTATATAAGAATAAGTTAATAAAAAGAAATAATAAATATTATAATAATATTTTAAAATGACAAACAATTTAAGACAAATAAAAAAAAAAAAGAATACACATATAATAAGACGGAAGAAATGCTATTTTCTATAAGTTACTTTTATTCATAATTCTTTTATCCGTTATCAAATTTTGTAAATTTAATTGAATATTGTTCGAAAATGACACTTAACTAGTGTATAATTTTAAGTTTTAATATATGGATCTAAAAAATTTTCAATGACCAACTTATTGACATATTAGATGCATATCATATTCGACGTGTTTCATCGGCAAATACTATACTTAAGATTACTTTCCTTCTCCAATATTTGACAATTGTTGTGACATCAAAAATCATAATACAAACATCAAAGGTAGAAATCAATACCAAATTACATTGCAACACTTGGACTGTGAATGAACAACTTCATAAGTGAAATTCCCCAAAAACTTGGTCTAGCTGGGAACCCATAAACAGTAGACTCCAAAAAATAGTCTTTATCTTTCTAAGGTAAACTAGAGTTAAAGAAAAACTATTGTTAGGAACTTTGTCAGATAATGCTAACAGTTCATCTCAGCATGTTAGTTTAGACTCAAACAACTTGATTTGTCAAACAATGCCTTGTCCGGTCCTTTACCACATTCACTCTCAAATTTCTCTTCCCTTCAAAACATTTTGCTTGGTGGAAACCAATTCTCCATCCAATCCCAAGCTCCATTGGAGGACTAAATCAAGTGCTAAAGCTTGATCTTAGCAGAAACTCATTATCCGGAGAATTTCTGCCTGAAATTGGACACTGAGTCTACCTTACCTACCTTGACAAGAGACAGAACAATCTCTCTAGGGGAGTACAATGAGTAGTTAATCTTGTATCAAAATGAATCACACTCACATTATATATGTTACAAATTCAACCTAACAGCCACCTCTTTCTCTTCCTTCCCTTCAAGAATCTCACAAGGCTTTTCAAGCCAACTAAAACCAGGACACTTATTGACATTTCTTTCCTTCATCACCTTCCTCACATTCCCAACCTCTTCCCAATCACCTTCAGCGGCATAAATATTTGATAGTGTAACAAAACCACCGGGTCCGTTTAGCTGCATTCTCATTATTTCCTCGGCCATCTGTTTAGCAAGATCTCTTCTTCCATGGATTTTGCACCCGTTTAGAAAAGCTCCAATAATTGATTCTGTGATTTGTATTGGCATGGCCTTCAGAAATTCATATGCTTCAACTATCTTTCCTGAACGACAGAAGAGATCGACAATACAAGCATAATGCTCCGTACTTATCTCGACCCCGTAACATTCTTTCATTAATGTGAATATCTCTAACCCTCTTTCCACTGAACCACTGTGGCTGCATGCTGAAAGAATACATGTAAAAGTAACTTCATTTGGCTGCAATCCTTGCTCCAGCATTTTCGTAAACAGGTCCATTGAGGAATCAACCATACCACACTTCCCGTAGCAATCAATCATTGCATTCCATGATGCAACATTCTTACAATGAATCTTGTCAAATACATTTCGAGCATCTTTTAAACCCCCACACTTGGCATACATGTCAATAAGAGCACTTGCAATGAAAACATTGGCATCAAAACCCTTCCGGCATATAAATCCATGAACTTCTCTTCCCCATTTAATAGAACCTACTGACCCACATGCAGGAAGCAGTGTTGCAAAAGTTACTTGATTAGGACAAGTCCTTGAAACTAGCATCTCCCGAAACATCTTAAATCCTTCCTCGACTTGACGATTTTGCACAAAGCCAGAAATCAACGCATTCCATGCAACCACATCAGGAACAAAACCCTCATTTTTCATTCTTTCCATAAAACCAATAGCTTTCCTACTATCTCTCAAACGAGCATACGTAGCCATGATAGCATTCCACGTAAAATCATTCGGCTCATATCCTTCCACCTTCATCCTCTCAAACAACACCAACGCTTTCTCAGTTTCCCCCAAATTACAAAACCCACAAATCATCGATGTCCACGAAGCAACATCCCTCTCAGACATTCCATCAAACACCTTACAAGCATAACCAATGCTCCCACATTTACAATACATATCAATCAAACCATTCCCAATACAAACATCATTCCCAAAACCCATCTCACAAACCATCCCATGAACCTGCTTCCCTTTCTCCACATCCATCAAACCAACACATGTTTTAAGAACAATACCAAATGTAAACTTATTACCAATTAGACCAATTTCACGCATTCTATGAAAGTAAAACAATGCATCATCAAAGTAACCATTATACACCATACCTAAAACCATCCAATTGAATGCAAAAACATTTGGATGTTCAGTTTTTTGAAATAATTTTTTTGCTGATTTTAAGTCTGCAGAACTAGAATACATTCCAATAAGTTTAGAACTTAAAGACATGATGTTCATGTTCATTCCAGTTGTGAGTAGCATTGCATGGAGTTGCTTGCCAGGTTTTAAAGCTTTTGCTTTTAAGCATTTTTGCAGGCACAAAGCTATGTTATAAGGGGTCCACCGCAATTGAGAAGAAAATGTGAAAATTTTCATCTTGTTATTATAAGTTATAACATACTACTGCAGAAGAAACAAGTTATGATTATTCTTGTGCTTAAAACGACATCGTTTACCCAAATTTTGAGAAACAAAATAAATTTGAAAAGGAATGCGTTTGCCGGGAGTCGAACCCGGGTCTATTGCTTGGAAGGCAATTATCCTAACCGTTGGACTACAAACGCTTGTTGATGTGATCTTATTGGATTTGTAAGATATTGCATACGTAAATTTGTACACTTCAGGAAAGTGAGAGTAAAACGATATATTAAAGTAATGATATAAACGGTATTATACATTAGTATTTTTTTTGTTGAGAAAAATAATTGGCAAATCATTAAAACTAATTCTACCCAAATTTTGTTGATTTAGAACTTAGATGGAAAACTTTCTTCAATTCAAAGAGTATTAGAGTCTCATTGAAAACTGAATATTAATGGTGATAGAGGAAGTAGATCCAACATAGACAAACCAAATTGATTAAAGAATAAATGTAAAAGGATTTGAAGGAAAAATATTATCTCTTTTAAGCAATTTTTCGGGATGTGCTCAGAACAATCCTTAACAAGGATGTTTTCAAAGATATATGGAATTCAATGTACTTGAAATTATAAGTTTCAAATAGGATCATAGTAAGTTTTATGGAGTGACTTTGAGATTTTTCATTAAAAGAAGAAGAAATAGTGAATATATCACTTTTCTAAGGACAATTAGGTTGTGAATTCACCTTAAATGAATTTGAATTTTTTTTTTATTTAAATTCAAGACATATTCAGCTTTAATACCTCGGATTCAATTAATTTATTTAATTGAATTTAGTTGCATTTTATTTAAATTAATAAGTTATTTATATGTTTTTATTTGAATAGTTCGTGAGTTTGTGTTTTGGAGGACATTGAAGGGAGTTAAAGGAGTGGTATAAATTAATTAGATTTATTTCAATTAATTTAAGTTGAGTGGAATAATAAAAAAAATAAGAGAAATAATAAAATTTGGAGTTAGTAAGAGGAGTAAAGGTAAAATAAGGGATATGAGAGTAAGTTGGGGGTAATAAGAGAATAACCTAATTAAGGGAAATTATGTTTTGCTTATATATAAAAAAGTGAGGGTTAGAACTTTTATAGTACTTATTATTTTGGAACAAGAGAAAAGAGGCAAGAAAGACAACCTAGGATTTGGGAAGAAAACATCATTGTTGAGAAGCTTAGAACTTGTTTTGCTAAAAATTTAAGATAAGAGAGAAATTTCTCTACTATGGGTGTATATTATATGTAGGGTAGAGAGACATCCTCACCCTCTTCTAGATTTTTTTTTCTCTTTTGATTCCGCCATTGTTGATGTGTTCATGATGAAAATAGTGTAAATTACATGTTCAATTGTTGTGATTCATGATTTGATGTGTGTGTTATGACATGATTAATTGTTATGAAATTGATTCATTATGTTAAATTCATGATATGGCATTTTTGGATGTTACAATATGAACTAGTATGATGTATGAGGGTTAAGGATTAGAGGAGATGAGGTGAACGTGATTAAAACTAGCATTTTTTGAAATTTGGCTAATGGCAATCGATTGATCCCCAATGTAAATCGATTGATCACGTGAAAAATTGGAAAAATTTGAAAGAAAAAATGATGTCAATCAATTAATTCCATTAATCAATGGATTGCTCTTATCCAAAAAGTGAAAAATAAGAAAAACAAAATGTAATGAGGAATCAGATCAATCGATTGATGGTCCCCGTCAATCGATTGAGGCTAGATAAATTTTGAAAAATTCTTGAGATAAAACTTATTATATTATTCAATTGTCTTTGCCATAATTTTAATTTCGTAAATTCAAATGAGGTGCGATTTGAAGTGTTGAAAACTAACGTGCATGAATACCTAGTGTTGTATTAAGATGATATATATATATATATATATATATATATATATATATATATATATATATATATATATATATATATATATATATATATATATATATATATATATATATATATATATATATATATATATATATATATATATATATATATATATATATATATATATATATATATATATATATATATATATATATATATATATATATATATATATATATATATATATATATATATATATATATATATATATATATATATATATATATATATATATATATATATATATATATATATATATATATATATATATATATATATATATATATATATATATATATATATATATATATATATATATATATATATATATATATATATATATATATGTAATACCCCGTATTTAATAAAATTCTCTAAATAATATTAGTTGAGATCACATGGGTTCCTGTGTACTATAAAATTATTAGTTGGAATAATTAGAGTACCTAGTGAGTTCAAATTGACTTAATTAATATTAATTGGAATTGACCTTTTATTAATTGGGACTTTTTTATAACAATAATAATGGGTCAATTGGTCTAGTAGAAAAAATATTTAATTGGTGGTACTTACGAATATTTGTTTTACTATATTTGTCCAATTCTAACCACATAATGTATTAGAGGAATTATGACCATATGTTTTGTTCTCATGTTAATCTCTCCACTACACATTCACTTAACCCACCCTTACTAAACTTTCTACTAAGTAATGCCACCAAGCGCCACTTCTTTTGCAATATATCAGAGAACTTAAGAAAAAAGAAAAGAAAAGGAAAAACTTGGGAGCAAAGAAGAAAGAAAACTCGTGGGAGAGAGAAAAAGGAAAGGAAACTTGGAATTCATCATCATCATTTCACTTCATCTTCCAACACCAACCTTCTTTATCTTCTTGGTTAAGGTGGATTCTAGGTAGAACTTGTGATTATAGAAATTTAGGGTTTTAGTAAGACATAGAGGAATTAGTAAAAATTATGATAATAGATTGGTTGTTCTTATACCCATGAGCTTCTATGAATGATGTGTTATTTGTATACCCTATAATCTATTATGCTTCACGTGTGAATGTTGTGATTGTTGTTAAGAAATTATGAAATTCATGTTGGATAGTAAGAAGGTAAATCCATGATATTATGAATGTTAACATGTTAAATGTTGTTCTAATGTTCCATAATTGTTGGAGAAGGATACAAGACTTTACAAGTGATAATAAGAGAGTTTAGAGGTGAGTTTTCATGAAAATAGCAGGTGCAAATCGATTGATCCCTGAACCTTTTTGATGCAAATCGATTGTTTTCCATTACTGGGACATAAGACTTTAAAAGTGGTAATAAGAGAGTTTAGAGGCAAGTTTTCATAAAAATAGCAGGTGCAAATCGATTGGTCCCTAAACCTTTTTGATGCAAAT